ATCACAGCCACCCTCAGCACTTGTTCATTTACAAGTTCTGTCCATGACTTGGGGCCGAGCCAGCTCCTCTACCAGCTCCACGGTGTCCACTTCACAAGGGGTTCCCACTGCTCCCCAAAAGGCTCTTGGGGAAGGAGGGAGAAGGAGCCTCCAGCCAATTCTGGAATTTGCTCCCAAATCTCTCTGCCAGGCAAAGCAGCAAGTTGAATGGAGAGATCCTGGGTTTGCAGGCACTCCATGCTTTCGTATTTAAAAATGAGGAGGAATTGGCTGGTTTAAGGGATTTAGGAATAAACTGGAAATCAGGGCAGGGACTCCTAATCCAGGACTTACAGACACTGTCTGTGACAAGGCACACATAACCCCTCAATTAACGTCTGCAGGACCCTCTTCCAGAAAGAGGGGAGGAGGATTCTCTTTGTCAGCCTGGTGACACTAGAGCAGGCCAGCTAGCTGCCTACCCAAAGGCAGGGAGCGCCGCGTGTGAGGACCGGGTGCAGACAGTTTCTTGTGGCCATAGGCCCCGGGAGTGGGCAGGCAGAATTTAAGGAAACACAGTCCTCCAGGGAGGCCAAGCAGAGGGGACAGCGTCCCAGGCACCCAGCAGAAGGAACAACCAGGTGAGACCTCCACCGACCGCTTTGTGCTCTTTGGCAATAATCTTTCTCTGTAAAGGGGGTCTGGTCTCCCTTTCTGAAAAGTGTGCTCGGTTAGCACTCCAAGGAGACAGATTGAGGACCTGGATGCTCATAAGCATTTTTACGCTTAATCCATAAAGTAGCCGGGGGAGGGTGGTGGGGAAGGAAAGCAGTGGCCAGAACAGATCTGAGCCGTTCAGACCAGACCTTTCACCCTGGCGGCCGGGGCTTGGGCTTGGCTTCGCTTGGCACCGTGTGGACAGTGTCTGTGTACAGCAGAGAGAGCACAGGCTGGAAGTCAGGAAGCCTGCCTGGGGTTTGGCTCCAGCTCCACGGACTGATTTGCAGCCTGACAGTAAGAAAGCCCCAGCCCTCCCTCTGTCCCTGCCAACTCTTGGTTTATTTTGCAGAGATATTACAACGAGCCTGATGCTCTCCCAGTGACCTAGTCCAGAGTGGGGTCTGGACCACTTATGTCATCACCATTAAATACAAAGATTCCTGGGCCCCACCCCAGACCTACTGAAACAGAAAATACAGGGGAAAGACTAAGAAACCTGCATTTTAACAAATGATTCTTACTCACTTACAAAACTGAAAGCCACTGAGCAAGAGGATAGAGTCCAAACTCCTTAACAGGGTTCCGTGGCCCTTATAGTCTGCCTCTGAGTTTCATTCCCAGTGTCTCTCTGAGTCTACACCACTGTCTGACATCTGGGTCCACAGACTACACGCCAAGTGCTGGGATCATTACATGCATCACTCATTTAACCCTCAGACCTTGTCCTCAAGCAAGTACTATTATCACCCCCATTTTACAGAGGAGAACACTGAGGCTTACAGAGGTTCAGTAACTTGACCAAGACCACGCAGAGAGTATGCTACAAGGGTCAGGTTGGAATTCCCATCCATGGGATTGCGGAGTTCTCACTCTTAATCACTACCACGCCACATTCTGTGTTCCCTCAAACATGCCTGAGTGTATATGCCCATGTCCCCTGCCAGCTGTCCCCTCGGCCTCACATGCCTCATGACACCCTAATCCTTTACAAACATACAGAATTCAAATGTCTTATTGGAACCCCAGCCTTTCATGGATCCCACTGAAGAGTCTTAACTACTCACTCCTTATGTTGCAACATCCTTTTGTTTATATCTCCATTTCAACATTGTTAAAATTGTATTGTGATCATGTGTTTATGTTCCAATGTCTTTCACTAAGCTTTAAAAATTCCTAAGACACAGAGGATTTGTAGGGCAGTGAAATGACTCTGTATGATCCTACAGTGGTGGGTACATGCCATTATACATTTGTTAAAACCCATGGAATGCACAACTCCAAGAGTGAACCCTGGTGTCAACTATGGACTTTGGGTGGTAACAATGTGTCCATGTAGGTGCATCAATTGTGTCCATGGTACTGCCCCAGTGCTGGACATCAATAGAGGGTGAGGTTATGTTTGTGTGGGGTCAACAAGCTAAAACATTAAATTTTGAAAACCTAAGCCTATGTTATCCATCTCTATGACCACACAACCCCAGGCATGGCACAGAGAAGAGGCTAAGTCAATGCACATTGAATGAACGCACGAGTGGCCAGACAGCTACTTTCCCATGGGACTGAGAACAGATTTAGAGCAGGGTCCTCGGCCATGGTGAGGGTCAAGGAGGAGACCAAAAGAAGGGGTCAAGTCATGGAAATCTTGGAGGAAGCCTCCGAAGAGATGTGGCGAGAGTGAGTACTGTGTTGCTAGTCCTGAGGATAAACCGAATAACAGTGACTCTCCATGACACGCTGGAGGGAGCAGAAGGCCAGAGCAAAGAAGGGAGGAGCCAGAGTGCAGAAAGAAAGAGCGAAGAGAGGGCGAGGGAGACAGGGCAAAGTGGACTTTCCGAAGGGGCTTTGGGTGCAAGTGTTTCTTTGGCCCGCCCACTCTGGGAAGGGGGAGAGAGGACTCACGCACTCATTCTCTGAAGGCAGGGAGACAGATCCTAGGAGCACCAAGGGACCATTTATCTTCCAGATGCGATGCAAAGGAAAAAATCGGCAAGTGCGATTACACGACAGGAACCCAGACTGTAATGTCGCAGGGAATGACTCCAAGAGACATTTTAATGGTGATTCAGATGCCAGGGATCAAAGACTATGACATAAGATTTAGAAGAGGGGCAATTAATGATTTAGTTTGGAAGGAAAATCTGGAAGAGGAAAAAAGAAAAACCCAGCACCAGCTGGCATTACGAGTGTGGTAACAGCATCGAGTAGACCAAGGATAAAAGCACTTACTCACATTGAGAAAGGAAACGGCTGCAGCAGAGACCTTGCCCGCTCGTGTGCTGGCTAAATCAGAGGCGGGGAAGATCACCCCATCACTCTGCCAATGTGCGTCCACAACTTGTAGCAGAGTTGGCATTAGACACGCTTGGGTTAGAAACCCAGTTCTTTCGACTACTAGCTCTATGACCTGGGGCGAGTTTCTTCATCCCCCTGAAACTCAGTTTCTTCACCTATAAAAAGGGAATAATAATACTTATAGGGTTGTTGTTAGTATTAAAGGAGATAAAGTATGTAAAGTGCACCTGGCATAAGGAGTCTATAAATTATGATGGTGGTGGTGGTGGTGGTGGTGGTGGTGGTTATTCTAAATTTTATTCTGTTTATTATCCTTTTCCTATTCCTCCAAGTCAATTTTGTTTTCCAAAGGAGCCCTGAAATTTTGTCAGATTAGTTCAGTTGAAGCTCAGAATCTCTTATTCTGAGCTTTCTCCATGCAAGACAGTGTGCTAAGCCTAATTAAAATGTCCAAGGTAAGGTCTCTATCCTGCCATAGCTTCCATTCTGGTGCCAGAAAGCAGGTGGCAGGCCTCTCCGTGGGCCGACCCCATAGAGCTACGGAAGTGCCACATGAGCCACAAACAACAGGCCCAGGGGCCAGAGGAACGTGAGATGGCTCACTGCTGATGTCATGGAAGAAGGGACAGTTTACTAGACAGAACAAGTGAGTGGACACCAGAGATGCCCACACTTACCTTGTATAAATCGTATTCTAAGGACAACTGCAAATGGCCATGTTTTACACAAATAACCCTGGTCTGGGGCAATCCGTCCAGAGGACACACTTGAGTGGCTCAAGCCGCCGTTGGCTGGCCAGGGAAGCAGAGATGGACGGAGCCACCTGATATATCACGGGGGGCCTGAGTCAGGGTGCGTGGCGAGACCATGCCAGAAGCTCAGAGACAGACTCTGCAAAGAAGGCAGGATGTAAAGTCAGGGTCGTGGCACATTTTAGCTGAAACTGGAAATCGGGCTAGGAGGAAAGTAAAGATGTGGTAAGAGAGAAATTGGCAGTCCTCAAAAGTGAGAGAGATGGCCTAAGAAAGAATGACAGACAGACGGAAGAAAAGAGAGACTGACCAAAGCACAGAGGGACTCACGGGCAGACCAGCCAGCGGAGACAGAGAGGTGGGAGGAGAGAGAACACGAGAGCACGTCCGACTGCCCGGCTTTCCTTCTCGGTGCCGAGCTGTGGTGGACACGCGGCTGCTGAGCTGGGCAGTGGGGCTCCAAGAAGGAGGGATGCAGGCTGACACCCGCCGCAGAGGAGAGACAGGGTGTGAGGAGAGGGGGCCGGAGCAGTCAGATCTTTCCTTTGAAACGTCTCAACATTTTTTTTTTGCATAATTATAAGAGCAACACATCATCTTTGTTTTCCTTGTTCAGTGCTGTTCCCCAGGCTCCAGGTCACCTGAGTCCTCAGAAAAGAGCTGTCACACACACTTCACACTATAAGAAGACAAGGAGATGTTCCAGAGACACTGTGATGGTGTTCTGGTAAGCGAGATGGGAGAGGGACATAAATCTCCAAAATGGGTTGAGCAATTTTTAGCACATGTTGTCTAGCAGAGGCAGGAGGGTGCTGACGCCACGACTCCGGTGTGAGATGGGTTTTGGGGACAGTGACCCGGGAGGCCCAGCCTCTGCCCTGCCTTGGCCACAAACTAGCTCCGTGAGCTTGAGCAATGGGCTTAACCTATCTGGACATCTGTTTATAAATTTGCAAAAGGAGGAGGTCGAACTGGACGTCTTCCAAGCTCGTTTGCAGTGCTCACATTCTAGATTCTGCGATTCCACGAACCCATGGTTATTTATACCTCCGACTTTTTCGCAACCCCCGAACGGTATTAGCAGCGTTGGCAGCCATGTCAATAATATTTTATTTATTATATTACTACGAAGTGAATAGGTTATTTATCTTCTCTCAGTACAACTTGTACTTGCATACAATTCTGACCTGCACAGTAAATCTCTCTTCCTTTGAACTCCCCAAGCATTTCGATCCAGGCACCTCTTGGTGTACTCACCTCATTCTGCTCTATAGCGTGGCTACTCCGGAACATGCCAGTTGCCAGTGACTGGCTGTTAAGCTCCCGGAATGCTTCCTGGAAGCCCAGCTGCACAGAGAAGGAGGAACGGGGCCACCGGGCCTTCTGTCACCTTTGTAGTCCAGGACAGTGCCTTGCACAGAACTGACGCTCCTCTCACGCTTGTGGAACATTAGTTGCTGAGAAGGTAAAACAGAAAAGAAATTCGTCAAATGGATCTAAGGAGGCCCCCATCCTTTGCTCCTCCCCCAACCCACAAGGATGGCCAACCTCAAAACTTTGCCTAAAATGTATAGGCACCGACCCTACTTCATTGCCAAAGTAGGGTCTCCGTGCTGCTAAAGGGTTTAAGGACGTGCACCAAATGCAGACAGGAGGAGCAGAGGCTCAGAGAATCAAGAAGCGAGGAGATGACAGGACACCTGCAATCCCCGTCGTGGGGCGTGTTTACGAGATGGCCCTCGGTGTGCAAACAGGGCACGTCGCATGGAGCCCCCAGTATCACATTAGGCTGGCAAGAGGTTTCTCAGCGGAGAACATGAGAATAAGGAAACAGACAGAAAAACTTCAAGGGCCCCCTCAAGACAAAGTCTCCTCAAGCCGTATTTTCTAATCATCCTGCAAGAAAGTTTAGATTGGGACCCGGTGGTTTCATTTCAACGTTTCGACAGTCCTCTTAATGTCCAGGCAGCTCTCGAGCCCGCTGTTCCCTGGCTCACCCCCAAACCCCACCCCCCCTCCAAGAATGCTCTGGGTGCCTGTTAATAATCCACTTCCAAACAGCGCCTCTGTGTCCGAACCCCCGGCCGCCTCGGCCCCACCTCCAGGCCTCGCTCTCCTGCCCACCCTGCCGAGGGACACTGGCCTCCTTTGTCACCGGCCGTCCCTGTGCTTCCTGGGGTCAAGGGCCCTCACCTCCTTGCTCCGGACATTCCAGCCACTTCCTGTTTCTCTCCTTCCACCTCCTCGGGGCTGTCTCACATTTCAGACACCTTTTCCTCTCCCTGTTCCTCCTCTTCTGTTACTATCGCCTATTCTAGAAGCATGCTCGGTGGGGGCTCCTCGAGCGAGCAAACGGGGGCGTCTCGCACCCCCAGGTGCCTGCTAGTCTCGATTCCTGTTAGCCGAAGTCTTGTTTGTGCTACCTTGCTAGCTCTTTACACTTCCCTCCCATGTTTGTTCACATTAAAACAGCTACTGAGTTCAAACGGTGGGACGGGGGTGGGGGGCAGTTTGCTCAGCTGAGGTGGGAGGCAGCCACAGGGGCAGCCAAAGGGCCATGTACCTGCCATCGCAGGCCAGAAAGTGCCGGGTCCCCAGGGCTGCCTGTGTGGACACAGCGCACTGGGCTGCAGCTCGCTCCTGCCCAAGCCACTGCGCCCAGGGACAGGGCCAGCCGGCCACACATCTCAGGGCTGCTTGCTTCTGACTGCAAACCTCGCCTTGTTAGCTCTCTGGGAGTAACAGGAAAATGAGAGTCTGTGAAGGCCAAGACCTCCGTGCCAAGAATGGTGCCAAGAATCCTGTGCCTCGTGGCCCCAGCGTGCTCACACAGGCCGAAAAGGCCAGGCTTCCAAAAGAGTCAGGCCAAGGCCACACCACCAGGCTGCTGCTGTCGCCGCCTGCTCTCAGCTCTGGCAGGAACAGGACGTTCTAAGATGGCTACAGCCTCGAGCCACCATTCATCAGGCGCAGCCCAGAACACCCAGCCTGGGCTCGGACCGCCTTCCGCAGACTCCCTCCCTGCCAGGCTCCTGTTTCATTACCAGGCTCCTAATGAGCTCTTCGGAAACCGGGATCCCCCCGGGTTGCATTGCTTGTGTCCCTCAGCGTCCCGCACGCTGGCTCGCAGGGCGCAGAGAGCCCGTGGGTTCTGAAAGGCGCTCGCGATGGCCCTGCTTGGCTATTGTTTATTCATCTGTCTCGATGACGCGTGTGCTCAGGTTGCCACACGGGTTGCCTCTAAAACATCTGGCCAGTTGTTTATCTCCCCAGCTGCATGGCAGTTTGGCAGGTGCTTGTCCTCATCTCCCTTCAGCCCCCTACAGAAAGAAGTCCAGCCCCTCCTCGCCCGGCACGTCTTCCTCGGGTGGTGCGGGCATCGGCTGGCAGCGGCCTGGCCCCGGAGACTGCGACCTGCCCCTGGTCACTGCCCGCCTGCCCCTGTGCCAGCCGTCCCTGTGTGTGCAGCCACGCCGGCTTCCCTCCCTGCTCTTTCCATGAGTGGCTTACCGACCTGCCTCCCTTTTTCTCCTACAGATGTCTGCTCCTTCCCTAACTCCCCCCAATGCCTCCAACTCACCCTCTTGCATAAAGTTACATTTGCCTTCTAAATCACAATGTCTGCTCCTTCCCTAACCCCCCCCCAATGCCTCCAACTCACCCTCTTGCATAAAGTTACATTTGCCTTCAGAAAACTTCCGTGCCTTAATGCAGTCTGCTTTGCAGTGTGTTTTTTCCTCTGTGATTCTGCCCGCTGCTGCTGCTGCTGCCAACCTAATCCCACCCTCACCCTCCCTGCAGAGGCTCACAGTGCTGGCAGTGGGGGTGAAGGTGATGGGGATGACATGAGCTAACATTGATTGAGCACTGACTGACTATGTGCCAGGCACTGTCCATGAAAAAACACTTCACATGAAAAATTCACCAGGTCGTCCCTCTGCATCTTAGTTTTTCTGAACTCTTACTGAGAAAACCACCAAAGTGGGCAGAGGAAGGAAGAAACCTTAACAGCCAATCAGATCAACGTCCATATCTCTAGATGTCCGGATTTAGCACATTTTGTGTTCTTTACCCTTGTATCTATAATTCCCACATAGTCGTGCCTGTACCTTCTTGGCCCTTACTTTTAAATTAAATTAAATTAAGAAGTAATATCTTATTTTAAAAACTGCATGTTTTTATAAATATCTCTGAATTTCCAATGGCAAATCAAGAGAACACAGATTTGGGATAAGAATGTTTTTAAATCCTGCTTCTGCCAATTACTAGCTTTGTGGTTCTGAGCATGTTTCTTAATGTATCTGAGCCTCAGTTTCCTCATTTACAAAATGAAAATAATACAGACCTTGCAGATTTTTTTACATGGCAGAAAGTGATATGTGTGGAGTACTTACCACAGTCCCTCACTCGGTAGATGCTGCATCAATGCCTCTTCCTTTTCTAAAAGGACATCTGTTGTCTCAGTGAAGCCGGTGGGGTATAAAATGACAGCTTTCTTTGCCATCATATCTTCTTTCCTTAGTGCAACTTCTTTCTCAGAAACCAGGGGAATCTCTGTACATGACGTATGGCACAGAAATCACCTTGTCCACAGCGCACCAGAGGGCAGCTTCAGTAGGATGAGCTAACAAACGTCATACATTCTGCCCCAGGCAAATTGCAGGGCTAAAATCTTACTCTGTCCCCTATTCCCTAGAGACTCAGTGAGCTTACTCTGAGACCCTTAACAGGGCTTTGTCTCCCGACTTGTTCACCAGGTTCAACGTCTTCTTGACCCGAGAACACCCCAGAGTGGTAGGCACTGGAGAAAACAGGCTTTACAGCAGTGGTCTTCAGAACGTGGTGGACAGGCAGACCAGCGGCATCAATATCGTCTGGGAGCTCGTCAGAAATGCAAATTCTCAGGGCCTATCCGACAGCCATGGAGCCTGAAGGTCTAGGGGTGAAGTCCACAAGTCTGTGTTTTAACAAACCCTCCATGTGACTCTGATGAAGGTTCAAGTTTGAGAACCACTGGGGTTGAGATAATAACATGGAATTTCCTCCAGACAGAGCAAGTGGTGGTGGTCCCAGCAATATGGCAGCAGATGGAAGAATACAATCTCCGGGGGGCACACTGTCAGCAACCTCTGCAGGTGAGGAAGGGTGGAAGGGTGTCACTGTGTCTCTTCACAGACAAGCATCTTTTTCCTCCCGTACAGCCTCCCTGGCATCTCTCTCTGCTGACCTGGTCTAGAACAGACAGCACCTGAGAGCCCAACCCAGTGCCCTGCTGTTGCTCAAACACGAGGTGTGGCACCTGTTCCCCCAGCACCACTCTTCTTCAATTATCCTGAGAATGCTGAAGCACCTCCAGCTGGCACCTGGTGTGTTCTCACTCAGCACTGAGTGGAACAGAGGAATTAAAGGTGTTATCAGCAACCACACTGGTCACCCACACCCTGCCAGGTGAGGCTGTGTCTTCTGCAGTCCCAGGAGCCTGGCTGACCAGGTAGGAAAAATTCTCCCACATCAGCAGGAGGCAGGGGAGAGGCCAGAGCTCAGAACTCTGCCCGCAGTCAATAACCGAAAGGACGTATCCCAGCACACGCATCCCTCCATAGAAAATGCTTTTTATCAAGTGCTATGGTTTGAATGTCTTTGTTCATATCCCAAAATTCATCTTGAAACTTAATCTCCTCCACAATTCAACTGTTGACAATGTGACAGCATTAAGAGGTGGGGCCTTTAAGGGATGATTGGACCATAAGGACTGCTCCCTTGTTTACGCTGGCCTGCTCTCTTGCCCTTCCGCCTCCCGTCACATGGGGACGCAGTAAGGAAGCCCACAGTCAGTGCTGTTGCCTTGATCTTGGACTTCCAGCCTCCAGAATTGTGAGAGATAATTTTTTTTCTTTATAAATTACCCCATCTATAATATTCCATTATAGCAACACAAATGGACCAAGACATCAAGATGGCAGATGGCCTATTTGCCCAAATCCAACGGACTGGGCTATCATAGCCCCACACTCCCTCCTGCCTCACACCTAAGCTCCCAAGGGCCTCATCTCCCTGACTCTCCACCCCCAACCCCCATAGCCACCCCCAATCCTGCCTGCGGCTTCGCCGCACACTCCAGTTTGAGAAGCTCGCAGTCCACGTTTACAGCTACCCAACGGATAACTCAGGTGACCGCAACTTTCACTAGAAAGGAAGTGATGAATGAGGCCGGCCCAATACAATGTGAGAGAATTGTCGGAATGACTCTGTTATCTTAACTCTAGAAGTCAGAGCTTTTAATCAAGAAATCTGAGAACTAAAAACTATGGAATCTGACAGCATAGCTGACAGGGAAGGCAGCCACCTTCCTCCTCCTCGCGCCATAATCTCCCTCTCACTAAGAATCTCTGCCTCAGCCCCCTGTTTTCTTGGCATTTCCTTCAGTTCCATAAGCCACCACTACCTTTCCAATTAATTAATGGAGCCCCTGGGACTCTTGCCTGCAGAGTCTGGTGGATACCCCGTTCTCAGAGGCCCACTCAGCTCCCAGCTCCTCCACAAAACCCACACAGATCCCCCCACCCTCAGACCCTCTTCAGCCCTCATTTGGACACCCTGATGATCTCTCACCTCGTGTAGCACCATGCGTTACACACCGTATGTGCATGGCCATAAGGCGCAATGGAAGCCTGCAGCTTCGGAGGGGCCTGCATTTGATACTGGTTATTGAACATTGAACTGGTTATTGAATACATTGCTATTGAACTCTGACCAAGAGAAGTTATTTTACTTTACCTTTTGTGCTTCAGTTTCCTGGGATAATGTTGTCTTCAGTATACATTTATTATGAGGAATAAATGAGCAACAAATGTGAGCAGGCCAGTACACTCTCTGCCAAACTCTGCATATACAGCCAGGGTTCCTGTCCTCCCTGTCTACTGATGTGCTCTC